GCTTTAGGGGGGAATAGGGGGTTCTGAGGGGGGAGCTGGGAAGAGTCTGGGGGATAGATATGCACATTCACTATGCGCGCACACACATCCAGGAACGCACATGCATGGCCCTGCTCTGCCTGAACCCATTATCGAAGCATGCCCCACCTAAGACTGCCCCACCCAAGCCTGCCCTACCCAAGCCTGCCCCACCCAAGCCTGCCCCACCCAAGCCTGCCCCACCTGGATCACCATCGTCCCGCGCACACTCGGAAACACCATACCGCCAGCCAGGTAATTGCTCTAAAACCTACCTGAATCGCCTCCCAGATGGCGTAGCCGTACGGGCGGATCACCATCGTGCCGCGCACTGGCCCATAGTCTGCCAGCTCAGCCTCCCTAATCACGTCCAGATACCACCGACTGAAATTCTCCGACCGCGACGCGATCTTCGACGCTTCCGCGGATCCCGCGCCGCCTTTCCCGTCGCCTTTCCCGCCGCCTTTCCCCTGACCTCCCCCGCCTCCTCCCCCTTTCTTCCCCGCCTTGCCCTTCTTGGCGGAAACTTCCGGCTCCGCTGCGCTTCCCGCGAGTCCTTCCGCGGTCCGCGTTTCCACCGTCGGATCGGCGGATTCGCAGCGGATTGCAGGGGAGGCGGAGGAGGCGGGATTGGCGGAGGACCCGGCGGAAGCGAACCGGTTCCGCCACGCTGGAGGGAGTAAAATCGACGGTGACGTGGCACTTAAAGATTGGAGGAAGCCTCCGGCGACGGCGGAAGTGGAGGCGGAGAGAGAGGGGGAGCGGAGGAGCATTGGGCGGACAATGGGCGCGCGGAGACACGACGCCATTGTAACTAAAAGAGGCGGAGAAATGCTTCGACTCTGTTCGCGCAGTCTGGAGAAACTAAATGCCTCTTTTTTGGCAGGTTATAAAGAATCGAATGCGGGACATACGGAAAGGGATGTAACTACGATAACAAAAAAAGGAATCGGCGGGAGGAGAAACGACGCAGGCAAGTCAACTATGACTTCGCCTTGTCAATTCCGCAGAGTAAGGCGGGCTGTCGGTCGCTCGGAGAATAGAGGCCTGGAGCGCTTCGAGCTCCAGAGATTAAAGAACACTGATGAACAGTGCACAGGGGGTGCTGATGGTTCGTCCGCCAATCATTGGCTTGGGATTGCCAGACTGGATTTGAGGTAACACTTGGCAAGTGCAGGGGGTAGTGTGATTGGTACGACGAGATTGTGGATTCCCCTACGCCACGTCATTACTGGATGGAATTCGATAGAAGTGAGCTCCCACATTCGCATTGTATGCAATTCTCAACGCCATCATCTAACTTGACTTGCTCAGCGTATTGTTTACCGAGCATATTATCAGCTAACTTGACTTGCTCTTACAAATGACAGATCTTGTCACCGAATTACTCCCTTTCGGCACCCATACTCAGAGTCTCAGGTCAGTTGACGTGTCATTTTTGTTTCCCCAATTGCTGAAATTATTTGTCCTCTCATCCTCAAAAACGTTAATATAAAGTTCTCTATTTTACATATAACTACGACAAGTGCGTGAGCATGTACCCTTGTTGTGAAATAGCAGCGGCATACGTGCCGGTATTTTCGGAACGTTCGTGACGCAACCCAGAATGGTAAGCACGTGCTCTCTTGGTAATTTGCCACTTTTATCTCCACAAGGGTGGGTCTTCACATGCACCCGTCGCGATTGGACAATAATCGAGCAATCTTGACGAGTCGTCGATCAAGATTGGTCCCGCTGATGTGGAGTCTTTACTTGTTGACGCCAGCATGAGAAACCGAGACGTTTGTGAATTTCGTCGTGGTTCCTTGCTCCGCTTACCGCTGCTGTGCTGTATCGAAAGAGCACTGGATTTTACCGTTCATGCCGTGCATGTACAAAGACGAAGTGACCCATCGCGTGTGCAAAATGTTGTCAGTCCCTTCGTGTATCCAAATCGACAACACATGTGTCCAAAACAAAGCGGTTGCTTGCCTAAACATACGGCATGTGAAACAAATGTACCTACTGGTGTTTCCCACACCCGTGCCTTTTGCTACCCAGCAGCATCCTACTATAACGGGCAACAAAAACAATAAATGCCTGTGTTTCCACATTATTGAGATTCAACCCAAAATGCGCGCTTCGGACTTCCCCCCAATCCGTCACCACCCGCTTTCAATGCCAACGAGCCGCTCTTCCCCCCCTCAGTGCTGCTCTGCTGCTCTGGCTGGTGCACACAAATTTTGGCTCGCACAACCAACTGCTCTGTCAAACGCACGTCTGGGTCAATGGCTGACACTTGCGTTCCATTTCATCTCCCAAATCTCGGGCAACGGGCCGAGTTTAGTGGACGGGCTGCAAAAGCAAGGCCCACACCACTCCCACAACTGGCTCAATTGAGTCAGAAACGCAGACGGTACAAAATCTCGTCAACGCATCAGCTCCGTCGGTGCTGTGGTTGACCCACACACCATGGCCCAAAAAGATGCTCTCGTCGCGATTTTCACCAACCAACCTTCAACAAAGATCCTCATCCACGAACCACTTCACCTCTGTGTCCTGACCACCATCCACATGCAAATGGGATGAGAATGCAGTCATCAAGTGATGCACAATCACGAGCTTCTGATTCAAATTTAACCAATGGAAGGGTCAAGGCTCGCCCTTATCCACTCCACTGCACACACACGCACGCGAGGACATCCGCACGCATCCCACCCTAGGCACGCGAACAACTTCAAAAAAAAAAAAAAAAAAAAAAAAAAAAAAATCTTCCTCGGGCACGCTGTGCGAGCCGCTGGAGGGCGAGCTATCGATAGCCACTGAGGTAAGGAGTCGAGGCGAGGACTCCTTGGAGGAAACACACAGAGGCGTGGCGCAGTGTGACAGTACAGTACTTCATACACAGTACAGGGGGCACACACAGAAGATAAATACGTATTTACACGAATACGAACAAGAGTGCCTCGCAACCTTTTGTGGAGGCAACCCAGGTTCTGTTTGCGACCTCGCGCCGCACTAGGGATCAACAGTTCATTCAGAGCAGCTGTCCGCAATTCTAGTGACTAGTTCCGCAATTCGACGTGTGTGACTGGGCTTTCGGATCCAACCAACCTCCACGCTGCGAACGATTTCGGAAATCCGGGATGCGACGCTGACCAGACCCCGACTTTTTTGGTCTGGCAGACCAGAGCTGCATGATACAGACCCCCAACAAGAGCAGATGGCATAGTAGATAAACAGCCGACGGATCATCGAGAATCAGAATGTGCCGCTGCTCGCTTTTCACGTACCTCAGTTGTAGTAATTGTAGTAGCACAATTTGTGCAGTGAACGTGCGTCGCACCGTTTCCTCTCGCTTTCTACATCTGATTTCGAATCGAGATCCCGACTTAGGACGTGCGGAACGATTAGTAGTGATAGTGGTAGAACGTTGTAGCAGTCTCCGCAACCGTCGCTCGTCGTTACGTGACAGTTTGCATCAGTCGTGAGCGGCAATCCCCGATTTTGTTTCAAGGAACTCACGCGGACTTCTCAAATAAGTGGCTGCGGCTCGCAAGGCGGCGAGGCGACGAGATTTGGCTGTGAATTGAAGCCTCAATTACACGCTGAACTAGATTGACACTGGCAGTGCGGCGAAAGAAACGGGTCGCGGAATGGACGGCCGCATGCGCGGCGACTCGGGAGGAGCGGGCGACGATACTATGGCCGACGAGGTGGGCGACAATGGAGCGGGCGATGCAGCGGGCGACAGAACTGACGACACAGGCGACGAATTCGGCGACGCTACGCCGACAGTGCAGCATGGTCCGAGAAACAATATGCTATCACACTCCCCATTCAACGACAGCGAATCGGTGAATCCGGACGCGCCGCGTCCAACCCCAGCGAGAGCGACAGCAGCAGGGGTATCTGCAGCGGTAGGGGCGGCGGCAGAGGCGGCGGCGTTGATGGTGCCGCCGTTGTTCCGCGTCCCGCCGCCATCTGGAGCCGCGAAATTTGCCTCCGCGGCGGCCGCCACCGCGGGGGCTGCGGGGACGGCGTTTTCTCCCCCGGATTCCGCGTACAAGCGCCAAGGAGAAAGCTTCATTGAAGACGGGTCTCCCCGGGAGCGCAGCAGGAGAAAGCGCGAGCCTCTTGCCACCGCCGCGCCCGCTGGCGGCGGCGGAGGCGGCGGAGGGAGCGGAGGGAGCGGAGGTGCTGCTGTTACAGCCGCTGCTGCTGCTACAGCCGCTGCTGGTACTGCCGCCGTTTCTGCTACCACTCCCCGGGGCCGCGGGAAAGCACGGAGGGATGGCTCAGCAGCAGCAGCAGCAGCAGCAGCAGCAGCAGCAGCAGCAGCATCCCCCGAGTTTGAGGACTTGCACAACAAGATCATGCCGGCGTCTGCTGCTGCTACCACTCCCCGGGGCCGCGGGAAAGCAAGGAGAGATGGTTCAGCAGCAGCAGCAGCATCGCGGGGGTTTGAAGACTCGTGCAACAGGATGCTTGCTGCTGCTGATGGTACCGCTGCCGCTGTTGCTACCACTCCCCGGGGGCGTGGGAAAGCAAGGAGAGATGGTTCAGCAGCATCGCGGGAGTTTGAGGACTCGTGCAACAGGATGCTTGCCTCTGCTGATGGTAGTGACGCCGCTGCCGGTACTGCTGCTGCCGCTACCACTCCCCGGGGGCGTGGCAAGGCAAGGAGAGATAATTCAGCAGCATCGCGGGAGTTTGAAGACTCGTGCAACAAAATGCTTGCTGCCGCCATCGCCCGCAACCTCCGCGCCCGGCTCGCATCATCCCAGCAACAGCCTCAGCTGCAGCCGCGTCAGCACCACCAGCTGGAGCAGCCGACTCGTATCACCACCAGCAGCACAAGGTCTCCGAAACAGCTTCAGGCGCAGCACGTAACAGACGAGAGTGCACCCTCACCCAGGCACGTTTCATCTGCTCGGATGATGGAAGCTCGGGGGCAGTCATTCAGCACGTCGCCTTCAGAAGTTTCCGGAAACTGGGCTCCTATGGATGTCACTCCAGGACCCGAACCTCAAGACGGTACGGTATTTCTGATTGCTTCAGGATCCCAGATCGGCAGTGGCTACGGTGGTGTTGGTGGTGGTGTTGGTGGTGGCGGTGGCGGTGGTGGGGGCGGTGGTGCTGGAGACAATGAGACTGGTAATGATGATGCTGGTAACGCGGACGATGCCACTAGCAGTGCTCCAATGGATCTGTCCGGCCGATTTGGAGGTGATTCTAACGAGGGCTACTTGCTAAAACCTGGCGCGGTGACTAAGTCCCGAAGCCTCTCCATTCCGCTCCAGCACGACCTCTCTCTCGGGCTGAATCGGCCGCTCGGGTTCGGGTCCCTCTCGTGGCCACGGTCTCCCGCCTCCTCCGCTGCTGCTCCAGGAGCCTTCGCGACCGCTGCTGAACCTGCTGCTGGTGGTGGTCATGGCGGTGCTGCTGTTGGCAAGTTTGTTTCGACTGAAGACCTGAATCGGCCGCTCGGGTTCGGGTCCCTCTCGTGGCCACGATCCGCCTCCGCTGCTGCTGCTCCAGCAGCCTACGCCAGCGCTGCCGCTACTGCTGCTGCTGCTGCTGCTGCTGCTGCTGCTGCTGCTGCTGCTGCTGCTGCTGCTGCTGGTGGCAATGCTGCTGGTGGCAATGCTGCTGGTGGCAATGCTGCTGGTGGCAATGCTGCTGGTGGCAATGCTGCTGGTGGCAATGCTGCTGGTGGCAATGCTGCTGGTGGCAATGCTGCTGGTGGCAATGCTGCTGGTGGCAATGCTGCTGGTGGCAATGCTGCTGGTGGCAATGCTGCTGGTGGCAATGCTGCTGGTGGCAATGCTGCTGGTGGCAATGCTGCTAATAAGTATTCCGTTGATGGGAGGCATGTCATGGGTGCCCCAGCTTCTCTCCTCGGGACCACCACTGTAGTCAGCTGGCCCGCCCCGGCCCCGTCTGTTGCTGTTGCTGGCTGGCCCGGCCCTGCCCCGTCTGTTGCTGTTGCTGACTGGCCAGCCTCACATGGTGGTGCGTCTGCTGCTGCGGCTAATCTGACAGGTGTTTTTGAGAGTTTAAAAAAGCCATCCTCGCAGGGTGGTGCGTCTGCTGCTGTGGCTGACCTGACAGGTGTGGTGAACAGATTGCCATCCAGTGAGCAAATTCCCTTGTCATCCTTTCAAACCTTTCAAACCTCTCAAGCTACTCAGGCCTCTCATGCCACTCAGGCCTCTCATGCCACTCAGGCCTCTCATGCCACTCATGCCTCTCATGCCTCTCAAGCCCCGCACGCACACCTGAAAGGCTCTGGCACTATCCCTCCGGCCATGCACGCTCCACGCTTCCACGCTCCTTCCCCTCCTCTCACCCCTGCTGCGCCGCCTCCCTCTGCTACCAACACTGCGTCCCCGTCCGTGCATGCATCTTCCTTCTCCGATCCCACAGCCATTCTCCACTCCTCCTCGCTCTCTCCTCCCGTTCCCGTCATGGTCCATGCTGCCAGTGTAGCATCCTTGGTAGACCCTACCTTGCCTGCCCTTGAGCAACAGCATCTCTGGCAGCGTTCCCTGCTGCTTGCACAAGGGCTGGATCCGGGTGGCGGAAGCAGCAGCGGGGGCGCTAGGGATGCTCGGCTGTTGCAGGCTACTGTGGGGTCTTACGAACAGAAGCAACCACAGGAAGAGACAGCAGCATCGGCATCGGCAGCGGCTTTTTCGGCAGCGCTTGTGCGAACCACCAGGGGATTTTCGTCGTTGAATACGCACGTGCCTGAAGGTCCGGAGACACTGCGTGCTGCAGGTCCGGCAGCAGGCTCAACGACGTCCACAGCAGGGTTGGCAGGGGAGGTGAGGGGTCCGGCCGGACCTATGGCTGGTCCGGGGGCTCCATCGACAGGCACGGTGGGGGGCGTCCATGCGAGGGGCGTAATGATTGTGGCACGGAGTGCATGGGCACAAGATCTGATTGCGAGGCATCTAAAGGACAACATACATCAAGGGAGTGACGTGAAAATCCTGCAGCAGCAGATTGCATATTCGGGGTTTAGCCGTCATGAAACACAAACAGGAATGCCTCAAGTTACGGCGGTGCAACAACAGCCGATCCTACAGCTGTCTTCCCCGACTGTGGATATGGAGAGGGATGGGTACATGGATCACGACACCAGGCTTACGGAAGGTGTACGGGTGACGCCGGTGGAGTTGTTAGGGCGCCAGGAACACACAACTCATGACATAACCGCATCTGTACATAACCACACTATACGTGATGCTGAAGGGAAAGAGTCAGGAAGCAAGGGAAATACACAGGGTGAAAACAAGGGAGTATTCCTTTTTGGGAAACGTGTAATATAGCTTAGAAACCTGCACAGTGCTTGTGTTTCTGTTTATGTTGTATATCCATCTATTTTATTTATTGATTCTTTCTTCTGGTGGATCTTCGCCTGGGTAGTCAAATTTGAAATGAAGACCCGACCCGTCTAAAAGGTCGGGTCGGGTCGGGTTACCCGACCCGACCGGGTACCTAGCCCATGCCTATCTTCGGACATTATCTAGGTGCTTCATGGCAAAACTCCCGGAGGGCGGCTCTGGGAACTGCCAGACTTTCAAGGTTCGTCCGACGGGCAGCCCTGGGACTCTCGGCTGCGCCCGTAGGAAAACTTTCCGTCGAAGTTGAAACGGTCAGTTCCCGAATCCCGTCCCGAGTCCCGACACCCGCCGCCGCGTGTCAAGCGTCCGTTTCAACTTTCGCCACCCACATTTTTGGAAGGCTACTTTTCCTCATGTTTCGCTTCTCGCAACAACTTTTGAAATCCCAAGGCAAGGGAGGCAGGCAGCAAGTACAGATGTTATTATTTTCCTCCAGTTTTCCGCCCCGGCTGCTTGATTCGTCCTCTACCTCCATTCTCAAGGCCCTGGAATGCTCGTCGCCTCAATTTCGAGATAGGTTGCTTGCTGCACCATTGTTTCTGTCTAGCAACGTCTTTATCGCCAGGCGTCGTTTCCCGATCGTTAAACGGTGGAGCGTTCAAGCCAGCACAGGATCGCAGAAGAGCATAGGCTTGATCATGGCGACAGCTGCAGAAAACGGCCACGAAACCGCCGCGAACGCTGCCGCGAATGCCGCTGCTGAAAAGTCAGTAACCCCTTCAGAAACCCTTCAGGGGGTTCCGCCGTCAGTTTTAACGTCGTCGTCAAAACGATCCGTCGTTCTCGTGCTCGATTTCGGATCGCAGTACACGCAGCTAATCACGCGCCGCATTCGCGAGCTCGGAGTCTACTCCGTCAGCCTGCCGGCTGGCGTGCCGTTAGATCAGATCCAGGCCGTCCATCCGACGATCATCGTTCTCTCCGGAGGGCCGAACTCCGTGCACGAGGAAGGTTCGCCGACGGTTCCCGATGGTTTTTTCGATTATGCAATAGAGAAGGGTATTACGGTTCTCGGGATCTGCTATGGTATGCAGTTGATCGTGAAGACGTTGGGTGGTGACGTGGCACGAGCCGAGGCGCAGGAGTACGGACGGATGGATATCGTGGCAGATTGTGATTCGGCGCTCTTTGGCGAGAGCGACGCGGGAGGCGAGGAACCTGAGAATGAATCGCGACAGGTAACGGGTTACCACCACTATGTGCGACAGGTAAGTGGTTACCATCACAGAATGCCATTGTTCCACTTTTATTTGTCAACAAGCTACCCAAGGGGTTTACGAGCTTCACATATCGTCCTGGTTACAGTTGCCTGTCTCGTTACAAAACCCTGTCCCCGCGAGACGCTGGGGACGAGCCACCGCGACGAGGCGACGACTTCATCCAAGAATTTTACTAACATTTTTCTTGTCCCCGCTACAAGCGCTTGGTCCCGTTATAATCACCTGTCTCGTTTTAAACTCCTGTCTCGTTGTAAACCCCTGTCCATAACAGACGGTGTGGATGAGCCACGGCGACGAGGCGACGAAGCTTCCTGAGGGGTTCAGAGTGGTGGCGCGCAGCGATCAGGGCACGGTGGTGGCGATTGAGTGCACTACACGCAAGATATTCGGTCTGCAATACCATCCCGAGGTGGGTGAATGGGAAAAAAGTAGGAATAAAACCGGCAAAAAGGGGGTTCGAAGGGAGAGTGAGGGAGAGAGCATGAGTGCACTGCACGCAAAGATATTCGGCCTGCAATACCACCCGGAGGTGGGTGAGGGCAGAGGGGGTGGGGGGAGGTGCAAGGGGCGAGGGGAGAGGGGGCATGGGCGAGGGGCGAGGGGCGTTACGGTCCGAAGGGAGAGACCATGAAGGTACTGCACACATATTCATTTCAGTTATATGGGAAATCACTCACAGTGCTTCTTTTCAGGGGTCATGCATGCTGACTGCCCAACGCAGGAGATGCTAGATGGGTGAAATATGTGGTTACCTGTTACCCGCTTCACCCGCTTTCACCCGCTTTCACCCGCTTTCACCCGCTTTCACCCGCTTTCACCCGCTTTCACCCGCTTTCACCCGCTTTCACCCGCTTTCACCCGCTTTCATCTGCTTTCACCTGCTCCCCCTCTACCCCCACAGGCATGGAGACGCGTCGCCGCGTGGTCTTTGACATTGGGGGCGCGCACGCTGATTGGCAGATGCAGGAGGTGCCTCTTTAATGGGTACGAGTGTCCTTTCACCTGTTCTACCTTTCATCTCCCACCTCCCACCCACTCCCCCCCCGCAAACCCCCCCTCCACACGCACAGGTGACCCACACCCCCAGGGGCATGGAGACGCTTCGCCGCGTGGTCTTTGACATTGGGGCCGCGCACGCTGATTGGCAGATGCAGGAGGTGCCTTTAGACGGGGTAGAGTGTCCTGTCGCCTGTTTCCAGATTCTCCCCCACCCCTTGCCCCTCCACCCCCTTTTCCCTCCCCCCCCCACACATACAGGTGACCCACACCCCCAGGGGCATGGAGACCCTTCGCCGCGTGGTCTTTGACATCGGGGGCGCGCACGCTGACTGGCAGATGCAGGAGGTTCTGGATGAGGCGATCTCGGCCGTCCAAGCGGCAGTGGGGCCGGTGAAACACGCGGTGTGCGCGCTGTCGGGCGGCGTTGACTCGACTGTAGCGGCCACGCTGGTTCACCGCGCGATTGGAGACCGTCTGCACTGTATCTTTGTGGATAATGGGCTGCTGCGGTGAGTGTAGAGGGGTTTCACAGGGTTTAGCGGGGGTTAGTGCGGTTTGTAGTGGTAAGGGAGAGGGGAAGGGGTGTTGACTGGACTGTAGCGGCCATGCTTGTGCTCCGGGCGATTGGGGACCGTCTGCACTGCATTTTCGTGGATAATGGGCTGCTGCGGTGAGATTTTGAGAGCGGTTCTGTGGGGAATTGGCGGGGGTTAGTGCGGTTCTGTGGTGTTGGGAGGGAGAAGACAATGTAGGCGTCGACTCGACTGTAGCGGCCACGCTGGTGCTCCGGCCGATTGGGGACTGCCTGCACTGCATTTTCGTGGATAACAGACTGCTGCGGTGAGTGGTGCACGGGTAGGAATTTAGGAGGGATTCAGCTGGGTTTAGAGCGGTTCTGTAGTGTTGGGGAGGAGAAGACACAGGGGTCATTGACTCCACTGTAGCAGCCACGCTGGTGCGGTGCACAGGGCGATTGGGGACCGTATGCACTGCATCTTTGTGGATAATGGGCTGCTGCAGTGAGTGGTGCACGGGTAGAAGACACAGGGGTCATTGACTCTACTGTAGCAGCCACACTGGTGCGGTGCACAGGGCGATTGGGGACCGTATGCACTGCATCTTTGTGGATAATGGGCTGCTGCAGTGAGTGGTGCACAGGTAGACGACACAGGGGTCATTGACTCTACTGTAGCAGCCACGCTGGTGCGGTGCACAGGGCGATTGGGGACCGTATGCACTGCATCTTTGTGGATAATGGGCTGCTGCGGTGAGTGGTCCACGGGTAGAAGACACAGGGGTCATTGACTCCACTGTAGCAGCCACGCTGGTGCGGTGCACAGCACAGGGCGATTGGGGACCGTATGCACTGCATCTTTGCAGGTAACGGGCTGCTGCGGTGAGTGGTGCACGGGTAGACGACACAGGGGTGATTGACACGCTGGTGCGGTGCACAGGGCGATTGGGGACCGTATGCACTGCATCTTTGCGGGTAACGGGCTGCTGCAGTGGGTGGTGTATATGGAGGGGTTTGAGATAGTTTAGGGAGGGGGGTTTAATGCGTTGTTGGTAGGATGAGAAAAGGGCATTGGCTCGACTTTAATGGCTATGCTAGCTTAGCCTAAACCCGAACCCCTGATTCCCAACCCTTCCCCCTCAACCCCATTCCACCGCACCGCACCCTCCCACCCACCCAAACACACACATACTCGTTCCCTCCCCCAGGTTTTAGGAGCAGCAGCGGGTGATGGCGATGTTTGAGGCGGACCTGCATCTGCCAGTCACCTGTGTGGACACTTTCAATCACCTCTGATCGCCCTTCCCCCTCTTCCCGCTTTCATTTCCCCCTCCACACCACACATACCCACACGCACAAACACCCCAGCTTCCAGGAGCAGCAGCGGGTGATGGCGATGTTTGAGGCGGACCTGTATCTGCCAGTCACCTGTGCGGACACTTTCAATCACCTCTGATCGCCCTTCCCCCTCTTCCCGCTTTCATTTCCCCCTCCACACCACACATACCCACACGCACAAACACCCCAGCTTCCAGGAGCAGCAGCGGGTGATGGCGATGTTTGAGGCGGACCTGCATCTGCCAGTCACCTGTGCGGACACTTTCAATCACCTCTGATCGCCCTTCCCCCTCTTCCCGCTTTCATTTCCCCCTCCACACCACACATACCCACACGCACAAACACCCCAGCTTCCAGGAGCAGCAGCGGGTGATGGCGATGTTTGAGGCGGACCTGCACCTGCCAGTCACCTGTGCGGACACTTTCAATCACCTCTGATCGCCCTTCCCCCTCTTCCCGCTTTCATTTCCCCCTCCACACCACACATACCCACACGCACAAACACCCCAGCTTCCAGGAGCAGCAGCGGGTGATGGCGATGTTTGAGGCGGACCTGCACCTGCCAGTCACCTGTGTGGACGCGTCTGACCGCTTCCTCTCCAAGCTCAGGGGCGTCACGGATCCCGAGAGGAAGAGGCGCATCATCGGGGCGGAGTTCATTGGCGTTTTTGATGATTTCGCGAGTGAACTGGAGGGGAAATTGGGGCACCGACCCGAGTGCTTGGTGCAAGGTGGGTGCGTTGTAGCTTCCGAAGGGTGGGTACTCACTCTTGTGCCTGGTGCATTCAAGAGGCGCTTCCTCTCCAACCAAGCTCAAGGGCGTCACGGATCCCGAGAAGAAGAGGCGCATCATCGGGGCGGAGTTCATTGGCGTTTTTGACGACTTTGCGAGTGAACTGGAGGCGAAGTTGGGGCACCGACCTGAATGTTTGGTGCAAGGTGGGTGAGCCATGTATTTTAATGCTGTAATGTAACCAGGTTCCTGCATCCAGATTCACTCAGCTTGGTGGTCATTTTGAGGATCATTTAATTAGCCACCCAATCTATCCCGGTACACCGTATCCAGACGTGATTGAGTCGTCCTAGGTAGCCAACCCCAATTCCCGCCTGCCATGCTCGTTACAGGTACTCTGTATATAGAAGTGATTGAGTCCTCCAGAGTAATTTCCCCTCCCTTCCCCCACAGCCTGTGCCAGGTACACTCTATCCGGACGTGTTTGAGTGGTTCAAAGTAGCCGACCCCCCCCCCCCCCCTCCCCCCCTCCTTTCCCCCCACCCACCTGTTCCAGGTACACTGTATCCGGACGTGATTCAGTGGTATAAGATAAAGTCCCACCCTCCCCCTACCCTAATCCACCCCAACCTGTTCCAGGTACACTGTATCCGGACGTGATTGAGTCGTGCCCGCCGCCCGGCAGCGGGAAGAAGCATTCGCACACCATCAAGAGCCACCACAACGTGGGTGGTTTACCTGAGAATATGCGCTTTACCCTCGTGGAGCCTCTGAAGTGGCTGTTCAAGGACGAGGTAAGGGACGGGGAGTGGGAGAGAGGGATGGGTGGTTTACCTGAGAATATGCGCTTTACCCTCGGCTGTTCAAGGACGAGGTGGGGGAGGGAGAGAGGGAAAGAGTGGTGGGATGGGATGGTGGGGGGAGGGAGAGAAGAGGGGGGGGAGGGGAGGAGAGGAGTGGGTGTTGAGGGGCAAGGGGTGGGATGTTCAGGGGGGAACGGGGGAAAGGAGGGGGATTTGGGGAGGGTTTAAGGGTGATTGATGGCGTTGGTGGGGGACATGGGGGTGAAGACCGGGAGGGGAATGGAATGAGCGAAATAAGTGTCAACAAGTTGGAATAAATGGAATAACCGGGGGAAGGTTGAGCTTTGGTTTTCTCTATGCCCGTGACCTGCGCTCACGTTCTCACCTCCTCCTCGTGCCGTCCGGCCTCCCGCATCCCCCTCTTCTCTCTTCCCCCTACTTCCTCTCCCCGCCTACTTCCTCTCCCTCCCCACGTTTCCCCCCTCGTCTCACTCTCTTCCCACCTTTCCTGTTTGCTCCCCTCTCTCCTCCCTCCTCCCCCCACTCCTCTTCCCCACTCCCCCACCTCTTCCCTTCGCTTCCCCCCTCCCCCCCTCTCCCAGGTGCGCAAGATCGGAGCTCTGCTGAACGTCCCCGCCTACTTCCTCTCCCTCCCCACGTTTTCCTTCTCTTCTCACTCTTCCTCCACCCCTCCTCTTCCCCCCCCTCTCCCCCCTCTTTCTCTCCCACCTCTTCCCTTCTCTTCCCGCCTTGCCCCTCCCAGGTGCGCAAGATTGGGGCTCTGCTGAACGTGCCCTCCTCCTTCCTCTCCCTCCCCACGCTTTACCCCAGCTTCTCCCACGTCCCCCACCCCTCCTCTAATGCCCTTCTCTCCACCCTCCCCCATTCCCCCCCCAGGTGCGCAAGATCGGAGCTCTGCTCAACGTGCCCTCCTCCTTCCTCTCCCGCCACCCCTTCCCCGGACCTGGCCTTGCGGTTCGGGTGCTGGGGGATGTGTGTGCAGACGGGGCGCTGGACACCATTCGCCAGGTAGGCACAGTTCTAGTGTTGAGCTGTTCTACAGATGATCAACACGTATCAGCATATGGCACCTGAGGATCTGGCCTTGCGGTTCGGGTGCTGGGGGACGTGTGTGCTGACGGGGCACAGGACACCATCCGCCAGGTAGCGTGTGCTCGCCAGGTAGGGACTGCTCAGCTGTGTTGCAGGTAAAAAACACATGGCGTCGAAAGCACCTCTCTGCTCAGGTGCGTTCAACCTTGCGGTTCGGGTGCTGGGGGATGTGTGTGCTGACGGGGCACTGGACACCATTCGCCAGGTAGGGACTGCTCAGCTGTTTTGCTGGTGAAAAACACATAGCATCATAGGTAGCACCTCTGCTTAGGTGCGTTCAACCTTGCGGTCCGGGTGCGTTCAACCTTGCGGTTCAACCTTAGCACCCCTGACGTGTGTGCGGATGGGGGGGCACTGGACACCATTCGCGAGGTGGGTGCTCTTACGCTGCTGTTATGCTGTGATCAGGATTGCAAACAGATAGCATCACAGCACCTCTGCTTGTGTTTGACGGAGGGACCTGGCCTTGCGGTCCGGGTGCTGGGGGATGTGTGTGCAGATGGGGCACTGGACACCATTCGCCAGGTGGGTGCTCTTACGCTGCTGTTATGCTGTGATCAGGATTGCAAACAGATAGCATCCATCCTTGCACCTCTCTGCTTGTGTTTGACGGGGACCTGGCTGTCGTGCTCTTCAACGTGGTAAAGGTAACTTTTTGAGACGTCTCAAAAGGTTACTTTTATCACATCCCTGCACCTCTCTGCTTGTGTTTGACGGGGACCTGGCCGTCTTGCTCGTCAACGGCATCAAGGAGGGGCAGGGCTGAACGATGATTTCTCCCCATGCCTGTCTCCCCATACTCTGCCTCTCCCTCCGCCCAATCCCTTTTTCTCTCCCGCTCATGCATTCCCCCCATCAGGTGGATGAGATTTTCATCAATTCAATCAAGGAGGCCGGGCTGTACGATCAGATCTGCCAGGCGCTGAGCTGAATGTCCCCCCATCTTTCCCCCCTTCTCCTTCTCCCCCTGGGCCTTCCCCCCATCAGGTGGATGAGGTATTCATCAACGCAATCAAGGAGGCCGGCCTGTACGACCAGATCTGGCAGGCAGTCAGCATTCCCCCCTCATTCCTCCTCCTTATCCCTGCCCCTCTCGTCCTTTTCCCCATCAGGTGGATGAGATTTTCATCAACTCCATCAAGGAGGCCGGCCTCTACGATCAGATCTGGCAGGCGCTGAGTACCCCCCATCTTTCCCCCCCTCTCCTTCTCCCCCCATTCAGGTGGATGAGATTTTCATCAACTCCATCAAGGAGGCCGGCCTCTACGATCAGATCTGGCAGGCGTTCAACATTCCCTCTTACGCCTTCCCTCTCCCTCTCTACCGCTCTCAACCGTGCCGTCCTCATCAGGTGGATGAGATTTTCATCAATGCAATCAAGGAGGCAGGCCTGTACGATCAGATCTGGCAGGCGTTTGCCGTCTTCTTGCCGGTGCGGTCGGTGGGAGTGCAGGGGGACAGGCGCACGCACTCCCATGTGGTGGCTCTCAGGGCGATTACAAGCCAAGACGGCATGACAGCAGACTGGTGAGTGAAGTGGTGTGTGGTGTGTGGTGGGGTGGGATGGGATAGGATGGGATGGGAATGTCTTAAACCTAAAGGTGCGGTCGGTGGGAGTGCAGGGGGACAGGCGCTCTCACTCCCACGTGGTGGCTCTGAGGTCGATCACCAGTCAAGATGGTGAGTGGGATGTGGCGAGAATAAGGATGGGTTGCTTGGACTTGTGGATGCGGTCGGTGGGTATGTGATGGGATGGGGTGGGGTGGGGGGGAGGGGGGATGCTTGGACTTGCAGGTGCATGGCACTGAGCGCAATTTTAAGTATTCTTGTCCCTTCTCCCAAGCACAATGAACCACCCTCTTCTCTTCCTTGATCTCTTCCTCCCTCACCCATCCTACAACTCTCGGTCTCGTTGTCTTTCCCTTCTCTCACCCGCTTTACAGGTTTGAATTTGATACCAAGTTTCTCCGTGAAGTATCGGCTCGCATTTGCAACAGTGTTAGTGGTGTAAATCGGGTAGTGTATGATATCACATCCAAGCCGCCAGCTACTGTGGAATGGGAATAGTGGCAATGGCTAATGTCAAACTGAGGGATAATAATTTGGATGTAAGTTGCTACATGCACGGGAATGCGCTTCCATTATGAATACTATATGTGTCTTCTGCGCTGTTTATTACCACCCTTGAGGGGTAAGAGGACTGTGAAATGGATTACATGTTATTTAGTTCCACTCCAACTAAGTTGGGAGTATGAGTGTAACGAGGTTTTGAATGAACGGACAGTAATGCCCAGTGGCCGGTTTTGGATTCATCGATCTTATCCGGTCTATCGATGGAGGCGCCAACTGTACAGAGGCGAATTGCCCGACCCATCTCCTCTCCACCACCAATCTAAGCCTGCAGGCAAATCTGGCTCTTTGGGGGAGTGAACCGTAAGCGCGTCGCTTTCGAATTGAAATTGGTGGCCATCAATGGTGTTCCCTTTCCGCCTCTCCCCTGATGCTGCCGCCCGGGAGTGGTGTGCAAGCACCTCTGTTTTTTTCCCCCGAACCTCGTCTCCTGCCAGCCTGAGGTGTGTGTGTACGTCCACCTCCCCTCGTCCCTCTGCACCGCTTCCCACCACGTATCTATGATCGTTACGTACGGCCTTGTGGTCTCCTCCTCTCCTCATTCCTCACTCGCACAGTTCATGAGTCAGTCACTCTCGCTCAGTCTCTGGGTACTTGTGTGTTATCCTGTATGCAGAATATGTACTTTTGCTGGCTTTGTCCCGTGAAAGCAAGCAGGGCTCTAGTCTTCTCCCTCGATGTTACCTTCTCAGCTTTCTCGTGTACTCCTGAGACTTAGGTCTGGCTAACTCAGTGGCTAAAGTTATTCATTCTAGGGTTAGTGCATTTGCGTGATCCTAGGCAAGTGCCGGTCGCTGCCACGCATTCAACAGCACACGCGATGCAGTCTGCTGGTTTCGCCGAAGGCCGGCGTAACCTGCTGCGGTCCGCCAGCCTAGATCCTCTGCGCGTCGATAATAGCCAGATCAGTAATAATTATCATTCTAACCAGCCTTTCAACCCTTCATTTCAGCAGCAGCTTAATCCTAGTGTCCATCCAGGCACCAAACCTCACATCCTCGTTAATGGCGGCGCGTATGGTCCTAATAACGGGTTCCACCAGCTCGAGTACAATCTTCCATCGCGACCTGGTTCGTCCGCAGGTCCGATGTCGCGTCCGTCGTCTGCGATGTCGAACAGGTCGCACGGATCGTCGCACGGATCGTCGCAAGGATCGCCGCACGGATCGTCGTACGGGTCGTCGCACGGATCGTCGCATGGCCTGTCGCAGGGGCCCCCGTGCGACCCGCCGCAATGGATTCGCGGACATCAGCTTGGCGGCGATCCGCGCAGTAAAACTCACCTCGCCCTTCACGCCGAATCCGGTCAAATCTTCGTCGCGAAATCCGTCTCGTCGCGCGCTCTCCCGCGCGACATGCGACAGCTCGACAACTAGCAGGCGTTCCTCGAGGAGCTTCGCGGCTCGCCACGTGTCGTGCGGCTATTGGGCGCAAACTGGGAAGACGACGCTGCCGTTCCAGGAGCTAGGGTTAGGAACCTATTTGTGGAGTACGTTTCGGGCGGCAGCATAGCTGACTTAATGTCCTCATTTGGCGGGAGATTACCGGAAGCGCTGGTGCGGAGATACGCGCGGGGGATCTGCGAGGGGCTGCGCGATCTGCACGCGCGCGGAATCGTCCACTGCGACATCCGCGCCGCCAATGTGCTCTTAAACGCGGACAAAGGCGAGGCGAAGCTCTGCAGCTTCGGCTCCGCAATCCGCGCCGCCGCCGCCCCCGCCGCCGACGGCTCCGCCGCGGAAGCCGCCGGCGCGAGGAAGCCGCCGCCGGCGCGGTTTCAAGGCGCGGGGGCGTACAGCTGGATGGCGCCGGAGGTGGTCCGCCAGGAGGCGCAGGGCTGCGCCGCGGATATCTGGTCGTTTGCGTGCGTAGTTCTCGAGATGATCACCGGCGAGCCGCCCTGGACCGCGCAGCTTCAAGCGGCGGGCTTCGCGGCGGCGACTGTAAGCGCGGCCGGCGGCGGCGGCGGCGGCGGCGGCGGTGGTGGTGGCGCGCGGGCATGCGATCGAGACGCGGTGCTGCATATGATTGGTAGCACGTTCGAGGTGCCGCATATCCCGGCGGAAGTGTCGCCAGAGTGTCGAAATTTGTTGCGACGATGATTAGAACGCGACCCGGCGAACCGACCTAGTGCTATGTTGCTTCTAGACCACGCGTTTCTCCTGCCCTCGCCGTGCCCGCCGCTCTTCCGCCTCCTAGGTGGTGGTAGTAACGGTAATATCGATGCTGCTAATATTGCGAATAGTATGTCAGGGTACAGTGCGGAAAATATGAGTAATTGTAATCCTGGTGGAAATGTAGCTGCTAATGGAGTCGCTAATAGCGGGGCGTTTGGTGTACCAGCTGCTGCAGAGAGGCTTCGCACCCCAGACCGTTACAGAATAGGGTTACCACGATCCGCGTCAGCAGGTTCGGCAGAAGAGTCAGGCTCCACAACAGGCATGGCAGCAGGTATGGTGGCAGGCATGGGCCCGGGAGGGTTTAATGCAGCCCCCCCGCTCACGCCGTCCAGTTCCTCCATGCATTCAGGTGGTTACCATAATTCGCTCACTTCGCCAAACGCTGCTGTTGGGGGATCAGGGGGAGGGTTCCTCACTTCGCCTGGGTCTGGCGGAGGGGGTCCGGGGGGAGGAGCGATGGGGGGAGGATCAGGAGGAGGATTAGGGGGAGGGGGGATGGGGGGCGCAGCAGGCGGGGGAGCCTCTTTGGACCGCCCCCCAACGCGCCGAACTCCGCTCCAACGGTCCCAGTCACAGCCGAAGCAGCTCATCTCCACTCACGTTGCACTGCCTGGCACTGGTAACCCTGTTTGTAACCCTAGTCCGCCTGGTGTGATCGCGAATCTGGCCCAGGGTTCACCGAGCAGCATTCCCCCTACTGGTAAGGCGTCCAGCAGAAATGCATCTCCCATGACTAAGCCTCCTCCTCCTCCTGCTGCTTCTCCTGCTGGTTCCGGCAGCGCTGGTGCAAACCCTAATATGCCAATGGTCGATCTGGGGGCGAACTCAATGAACCCAGCCCTAGCTGCTGCTATTCCCGGCCCGCCTGCTCTAACAGCTGAAGCAGCAGGGGGGAGTGCCGGAGGAGCCACTGGGCCGGTGACAGGTGGCGCGATGCCATTGGGCCCGGTGCTGGTGCCTCCCCCAGGCATCCGCATGGGACCGTTGATGCGGCAGATATCCAAGGGTCAGGAGGCGATCAGAGCCGCGGCAGCTATGGCTGCAGCAGGAGGAGGAACAGCAGCAGCTACCGCAGCAGCAGGGGCAGCGGCAGTAGGGGGGATGGAGACAGAGAGTGGATTTCTCCCGCACCAGCAGGCACAGGCTCGGGCCACCCCTCCTCGCCCGGGCCTCCCCCGAAGCTCCAGCGGTGGTAGCTCCGGAAACTACAGTGTTTCCTATGGGAATGGCTCATCCTCCGTTCCTGGGAATGGAGGTGGAGGGGCCAATGGTGGTGGTGGTGGTGGTGGTGGTGGCGGTGGCAGCAGTGGTTATACCGCTGCCCTTCCCCCCTCTCCTGAAGGCGTCACCTCCCCCAACACCATATTCTCTGCTCCCTCTCCCCCCTCCATGCCCCCTCGTCGTCCCCACGCCCACCGTCGCTCACACAGCATCTCACCCGAGCATGGTCATTTGGGGTTCAGTGCTGCTGCCGGGGCCACCCTTGGGATTGCCGCTGGCGCTGGTGGGAGCGCTGGTGGGAGCAGTGCTGCTGCCGCTGCTGCTGCTGCTGCTGGTGCTGGTGGTGGTCGATTCAGTGCTTACCTTCCCCCAGGTGTTGGTTCAGGAGCTGGCCCAGGGACAGGCCCAGGTGCATGCACAGGTGCTGGCCCAGGTGCTGGACAAGGAGGGTCACTAGCTGCCAATGCACGCAATGCGTTGTCGGGGAATAGTAGTGGCAGCTCATTCCAAAATCAGCAGCAGCAGTCGCATCAACCTCAGCAACATCAGCAGCAGCATTTTGGTCCTGGGAGCTATCAGGAGCAATCTGGACCCAGGCCGAGCCGCTCTCCCGGACCTGCACCTTTGGCTCGGAGGCCAAACCTGCACCAGCGGTCCCCATCCGCGCAACTAGACATGTCTTCCAGGCGGTGGGATTCACCTGACTACAATCAGGGCATCTGATTCTTATTTGTATGATCATGACATAATGTAGTTAAATTGGTGCTCAATATGTTAGTGCCCTAGCTGTAAATTGTACTTGAAGAAGATCCGAACGCGTGCTTGCTTGAGAGGAAGAAATTTAAAATCTCTGGTTTCCAAACGAGGCAACCAGAATCGCGTATGGTAGTGCATCACATTTCCCTGCATTCGTCAATTTTCTCAGCCATGGTGTGTTTCGGGAATCCCAAACTTGACGAGTAGCGCTTCTAGAAGAATTCCTGGACGGACCTGTGCAACGTATCTAGCCGCCCGATTCACAATCGGCCCCGAAAGCTATTGGTCCACATCATACCCTTGTCGTGGTCAGACTTCACAGGCGAATCCGCAGGCGAAGACATACCTCCACTTCACAAATCACGAAGGGTCCGGACAAACCAATGAGAACCGTCGCTGTCCTTCGCCACATCCTGCTCTTATCGCAAAAGGTCTGAGGCGGGGCCTCACTTGGCTGCGAGGCCAAAGCGAAACGCAAACCACACTACAGATGTTACTCTCAGGTTATGAAAGCCTTTATTACAAGATGGGCTTAGGCAATCATCAAAATAGTTAACAGGGTTTAGGGTGTACAATATCCATATCTATTCGCTTCCCAAAAAGGACTATACTGATGTCTTTCTTTTGCTCTACGTCATCCTTACCCCTTACCAATGACTTACCTACAACAGAACCACCCACTTGTGCACTCTCTCCTTCATGGAGCTCATGGGTTCTCACATTATTTTCTATTGTTGCTTCTTGCAAGCATTTGGAAGCAAGCTCTGCTTCCTTACTTAAGATCGGCTTTGCTTTTGATGGAGAGTAACTTTTTTTCCTAACAGCCCGATGAGAAGGCGATGCTGAAGACTGCTCCTCCTTATTGTGAATCACTTCAGCAGGCATGGCGCTACTTCTGCGCTTGCCCTTCTTACTCCCCTGCACCCGATCAATGTGGTTAACCACCATCGTTTGAGCCCATGCACTCCTTGGAACGATCACCCGACTTCCCACCAAAACAAATGGAGAGCTGCTGGAGGATAGAACCATAGGCGAAGAATGTGAAGGACGCTCAGTTGACGAGTCCTCAGCGAATGATTCAGCTATGGCAGGCCTGGTAGAGCTGGATTTGCGAGATTTAGGCGATAGGTTGGGATGAGAACGGATTGGTGTTCCTGCTACATTTGCTGCTGCTGCTACCGTTGCTGTCTCCATTGCTGTTTCTTCAAATGCGGCTGCCGCCGTTGCTGTTGCTCCTGTTGCTACTGCTGCTGCTGTTGCTGCTGCTGCTGCTCCTGCCACTGCTGCTGCTGCTGCTGCTGCTGCTGCCTCTGCTGCTGCTGCTGTTGGGACAGCGACAGCAGAGGGAATGTACTGCGATTGCCACATGGAAGGCCGATGCGCGGATGCGGATGCTTCTGCCTGGGAATCTTTTTTGGGAGATGAGAAGGATTGGACGCGAGGGATGAAAGCGTTGGCCGTGAAATCTGTCAGGAAAGGCACTCTTGGTGGACTGTTTGGAACATTGTGGGTGGAAACGCCTCGCATGTCATGGGCTGATGGGTCAATCATAGCATGCCCTGCCGCACCACCTTGGACGAGTCCTGCCGTCCCATCATGCGCGTGCCCTGCCGCCCCATTGTGGACGTGCGGCTCTGCCGCCCCATTGTGGACGTGCCCTGCCGCCCCATTGTGGACGTGCGGCTCTGCCGCGTGGAAGACATTCCCTGGCGCGTTGATTCGCCCAACTCTCCACCCTGTTGGCCCGCGGCTCACATGTCCTGGCACGCAAGACGGCATGTCCATCATGTGATGATTTCCCTGTGCAGAACCATTATCACCTTTCAACACTATGTGACTGTAATGCGGTGTCTTTGTTGTGCTCCCTGCTGTCCATTCCGCCTCCAGCTTCTCCAGCTGTGACAGTAACGAATCCCTAGCACCGCTTCTCCGTGCCGCTGCCGCCGCCAGGTCAGCAGCGGCCAGCGTGGACCTGACAAGAGATTCAGCGCCAGCAGCGTCGACTCCCATCATCATGACACCTTCCATGCCGTCGCCACACGCGGCGACGGCAGAGGAAGCTGCAGTAGAATCATGAAACTTCCCGGAATGTGCCGCTGGCCAGCTCGGAGCCACCACGCTTGGCAGCCTGCTGACGTCATTGTTGGTGATCTTGGCCCCGTTTGAAGCTGTAGCAGCAGTCCCTGCAGGACCAGACTGCAGCGTCATCATGTCCAGGGCGTGACGGTGCGGATGCTTCAGAAGATCGGTCGTCCGTGGATGAGAAAGCGGAAAGTTTCCACGTCCATGATGCTCGGGATCAAAAAGTCCTGGAAGAAACTCCTGCTTGTGGCCCCAGTTTGAGGGTGAGGCACTGGGCGATCCGCTGGCGCTCATTGTGAGAGCGCAAAACGATGGTGTGTCTCGTGAAAGAGTACTCTTGCGGCGGTTGGTGTGTACACGAACTTCTCACGCTGGGCGTGACACTTTCAAGTCACGGCAGATGACGTCACGCGGCGCTGATGCTACAAAGTACTGTCGGAAGTTGCACTACGAAGTTTTGAACCCAACAATGGAATAGAATAAAGAACCTCGTCATTCTGTACTTTTAACGTGACAAAGCTGCGGGCTCTGAAGAAACTACTACTACTGTCAAAAAATGGGTTCGCACGGCCCTTCAAAAGCTGAGGAGTCAAATCAATTTGTAAGAGGGGTCTCAGACTCTCAGCACACTGAGTATTCATGTCTCTCAACCAGTGGTGAGGGGGGATGATACGCTTCCCTTCCCATCTCCGTGTAAAGCCTATGCCCCCATATAGATAGCATTCTCTCCCACCAGTCCATTGCCCAACCCAGTACAGAATGACAGCTTGCGGAGGATTTTGGACGGATACTGCATTTTGGGAGCGGACACAGATTCTTCGCTCTGCGCGAACCACCAAAAACGATTATGATTCGTGGCGCAAGGTATGTACACTTGAGTCGAAGCTGCCTAAAGGCTGATTTCTGTAGCTGCTCGGTTGGGGGATTCGGGTCTGGCTTTGTTTGGTGAGTGGATGGTGGGGTTTGTGTTCACGATTATCTGGGAAATTCTGGAAAATCGGGATTATGGGGAGGGGAAAATCGGGAAATTCCTGGGAGATTCGACGACAGGACCATTCAGCAAATGAGCCAAAGCAGCCGAGGTGAGAGAATGCTGCTGGCAAGCATGTTGATGCACAGTGTTATGTGCTCGTCATCTTCCTCCTCGCGTGGAGGAAATTTACACTGTAGATGATCCGAAAAGGATGGCAAGTGGGTAGGTGGGGTGTCTTCTGATGTGAGGTCGCGCTGATTAGATGCGACAGCTGGCAACAAACTCTCAGCTTGCAAGCTGGCGGCTTACACCAGAAAACGAATGCAACAACAAGGGCTTTCATCGCGCACTGTACAGTACCACGAGAAAAACGGCGCACGCGTGCCTGCTCCCGGGAATCCTGCTCAGGATTTCCTTTGCCAGTGACCTGACCAAAAAACTCCACAGAACTTGTGCTGTGTGGTATGGAATTGCATGCATCTGGCGAATGGCCAATGGGGCTGGAGTAGTGCAAGATGTTTGGAATCTGCCCGTTTTCTTTCGGGCCTCGCCTCTCCAAACCAAGACGGCGGCGAATCCGTCCTTCGAACATGGTTGGATTCGGATGATGACGTCTCGCAAGCTTTACAAAAACAATCCTGTTCCAAATGTTTGCAGTCGTCAGCAGTCCGATTTCCGGGGCGTGGTAGTTAGAACGCTCCTTAAATAAAAGGCTAGAAATGAAATATTTGTGAATCTTGTTTGAAAGCCTTGCACTTTAAATGTGTGGTTCTCGAAATGACGTTTTAGAAGATTACTCTGAACGATGTATTCATCTCCACAGTCGTACTGGTTCTAGGATTATGAGTTGTTCTGTTCTGGCATGCTACACTTCCATGTTTCAGATCAATCTCTCCGAAAGTTAAATTTGTTGCAAGAAATGGACATCGCTTTCCGCACCGGTACATCTTAATGTACCTTCCAGTGTTTAACGGGTACAATGGTTACCAGAGGATCTCTAGATGCAAATTTACAACCCCGCAGTACGCAGCAATTTCCTTGCGTGTACACGTACGGCTCTCGCCGTAGCCTGCTCGGGTGACATCAGCCGACCAGCGTTCCTTCCTTGCACACTCCTCATCTGTTCAGCTTTCAAAGGTCTGGTGTGGGGCTGGTCGAGGAGTTTTTTTGTTCCACGAAGTTGCCACCAATACACTGTACGTGTACAGACCTGACCTGACAATTTTGATTCAAGCTCGATACGATCATACAACCTCCATTTCGTTACATCAAACGGTTAGATGTGTTTGATGCTGACAGCTGTACCGGTTGAATGCGTCAAGCGAACGCTCTTGGCCTTTGCTTGAGCCGAGCCACGCCATGGCTGTCAATTCGATTGGGTGTGAAGTCCGGCTAGACTTTTCATTTTCACTCTGAGTGTCACGGAGTTCGGGTCAAAGTAGAGCTCCAGCGTCGTTGTAGCCCAGGTTTCTGAGGAGGTCATTCAAACGGGTGTACATGGGATGGGGGGGCGTTGAGAAAGGCGCGGGAATTTTATGGTGATGGTGAGAATGAAGGAACACTCTGGTGATGGTGGGGATGGTGGATGGGGAGTACGGGAAGGGAGGGGGATGGGGTTGAGGAAATTGAAGTTTCACCTGCCCATGTCCCGTAGCCGGATACTGTATTTTCCTTGCAGAAACACCCTCGCGAAACGACAGCGAATGGATAACGACAACACTATGAGTAGCCGATTACTTCCTAATACGACAACAATATGAGTAAGCCGATTACTTCCGAATACTTTCATTCTGTACTTCATGCTTGTAAGAGTAAACTTACACTCTCAAAATACATACTACAATTACTTGTTGCATCTTACATCTCTCCGTTGTCATCCTCAAAAACTACTAGAAAACATAGTGATGTCAAGCTTGTTGGAATCAACAAGGGTTATTACAGCATTCCCGAAGGATTCTTCTTAGCGCACCGCTTCATAACGAAGCAGCGCACTTGTACTAGTACCGCGTTAGCTCGTGCAGAGCACGCGAACGAGCTAACGCGAAGGTCAATAGCCAGCCACGCGATGGTCAACAGTCGCAGGGAAGTCAATGGTCGCGACTGTTGACCACCCAGCAACTGTAATGGGAGGTTTCACGCTGCAACATGGTAACTGTCGAGTATCGCAATAGTCGCGGTAACTGTAGCAATGCAAAACAGCTAATAAGGGAATGTACTCCTCATAGTACATGGCTAGCTAGGAATGCAATTTATTTCCCTTGTAATGCTATCTTTATCATCTTGTTCTCCTTCAACTTATTATAACGAAGTCCACTAAAAAGATTTCATTGTCCTCCTCATACACTTGGCTAGCCTTAGGACGCGGCACCTCTAGGAATTTAGCCAGGGTCGGGGGAGGATTGATGCCCGTACACCGATTCTCCCGCATCGATCTGCACACCGATATGCACACACTACAAATTTGCAGTGTGGTATATACGCCGAGCCATGGGTGCCAGGATCGAAATTGCAGGATCGGACAGGTTGGATCCGCAGCAGAATACACCAGCAACTGAGTCGTTATCCAATCAGAGCAAAGCGCAGTTGGTCACCTGAGGCGCGATCAGCTCTCCCGCCACCCCAAACGCACGATCGATGTGTGCTCGGTGGCACATCGATCGTGCGACAGAGGTGCGACCATTTTGGGGTACAATTTATTGTACACGTGCGAGATGTGGCGAAACCGGATACCAGCCTGTTGGCGATGTCGCGAATACACTGTACAAGCGACACATCGATCCCCATCCCGGATCGATCCTAGCTTTCTGTTGGAATAACCGATGGTTATTATAACACTTCCAAATGTGAAGATAAGCAGTAGAAGAAGGCGCCATAGCTAGGAAAGCCCTAGCTAGGCAAGAAACAGTTTAGGCAAAGAGAGGAGTTGCAATAGCAAGAATGAGGATACAAATAGCAAACCCTAGAAGGGTTGTACTCGCTATAGAGCACCCCACTACAGGCTAGAGCATAATATTCTGACACACCCCCATAGCCAAAGTGGGGTGTAATTGTCAGATTTATATGACATAGCTACTGTAGGCTAGAGTGGGGTAGCACATATGGGGTACAGTTTTCTAGGGTTTGCTTCTTGTACCCAACTTTCACTTAGTCATTCTCATTCCTGTTTTTCTTAATTCACATGGTATAGAGCGGGTTCCTACATGGGACCGTTCCTTCCTAAGGGCCCACCATAAGATTTTTTTTTTTAGCTGCCCGCGCACATTGCGCCCTGCCCTAAATTTTTTTTTTAGCGGCCCCTACGCTGCCTCTACGCGGCCCCTACGCCGCCTCCCACGCGCCCCCTATGCGGCCCCTGGCGGCGCCCTGACGAGGCCCCTGCCGGCGCCCTATCGCGGCCCCTGACGCGCCCCCTGGTGGCGCCCTGACGCGGCCCCTGGCGGCGCCTGACGCGGCCCTGACGCGACCTGACGCGGCCCCTGGCGGCGCCCTGACGCAGCCCCTGCCGCGGCCCTGACGCGGCCCTGCCGCGGCCCCTGACGCGGCCCTGACGCGGCCTGCCGCGGCCCCTGCCGCGGCCCTGAAGCGGCCCCTGACGCGGCCCTGACGCGGCCCTGACGCGGCCCTGCCGCGGCCCCTGGCGGCGCCCTGACGCGGCCCCTGACGCGGCGCCCTGACGCGGCCCCTGCCGCGGCCCTGACGCGGCCCTGCCGCGGCCCCTGACGCGGCCCTGAAGCGGCTCTGCCGCGGCCCTGACGCGGCCCTGACGCGGCCCCTGACGCGGCCCCTGCCGCGGCCCCTTACGCGGCCCTGACGCGGTCCTGCCGCGGCCCCTGGCGGCGCCCTGACGCGGCCCCTGACGCGGCGCCCTGACGCGGCCCTGCCGCGGCCCCTGACGCGGCCCCTGCCGCGGCCCCTGACGCGGCCCCTGACGCGGCCCCTGTCGCGGCCCCTGACGCGGCCCCGCCACCTACCTTTCTGGCCCCGCCGCCTCCTCTCAGCGGCCCCGCCGCCTCCTCTCAGCGGCCCCGCCGCCTCCTCCCAGCGGCCCCGGACGCCGCCCTCTCAGCGGCCCCACCGAGCCGCCCAGCAGCCTAGCCGCCCAGCAGCTGAGCCACCGAGCCGCCCAGCAGCCGAGCCGCCGAGCCGCCCAGCAGCC